AGGGAATGACTTTGCTCTGGAAATTCCAGGTTATTCCATGTTATCAGGAGTTGGCTGGATTCCACCATGAGTATGAAGGACATGTAGGCTGTTTCCAGCCGGGGGCTACTAAAAACAGAGCCATTAGAAACACTTGCAGAGGGGTTTTTGTGTGACTAGAAATCTATTTCTTCAGGATGAAAACTCAGGGGTCCACTGCTGAACCACAGGTAGTAGCACGTGTAGCTCTTGTTTGTTGTTGGTTTTTTTTTGGGTTTTTTTTGTTTTTTTTTTTTATGAAAGTGCCAGACCGTTTCCCAGAAAGGCGGCACCATTTTACACCCCCACCATCAGTAAATGCGACTTCCCGTTTCTCCACATCCTCACCAGCATTTGGTGCTGACCCTATTTTAATTTTTCCCATTCTGCTAGGTCCATAGTGATCCCTCACCGTGGTCTACACACCAGCATCTCACTGGTGGTCCACTGCGCCGCGCCTCCTTCACAGGCTTATCTGCCGTCTGTCCATCCTCCTCAGTGAGAGGTCTCTGGGCTTTTACCCGAGTTCTGATTGGGTTGTTTCTTAGTAAGTAGAGGGCAAATACTTTCTGTTGTTTCCCCTTTCAACCCCTTAGCAGTCTCTTCTTCAAGCAAAGTCTTTCCATTTTGATGGAGTCCGACTTTATCAATCTTCCCTTTTATGGATTGTGCTTTGGGGGTTAACTCTTGCTTAGCCTGGGATACCAAAGCTCTTCTATTTGTTTTTTCCTAAAAGTTTTATAGTTTCATATTTCAGTTTGAGATCCATTTTAGGTTAATTTTTGTCTAAGATACAAGACTTTGGTTGATTTTGTTTTGTTTTGTTTTTTGACTGTGGGTCCCTAGTGACTCCAGTGCCATTCGTGAAAAGGACATATTTTCCTTCATTGACTCGCTTTTCTGCACCTTTTCCAAAAGAAATCAGTTGGGCATATTTGTGGGGGTGTATTTTTGGGTTCCCCATGCCTTTCCTGATTGTCCCTTGCCCCTTACACAGTCCTGATTACTGTCGTGACCCAGAAAGTCTAGAAATGAGCTTGCCCATGCCTCCTATTCTTTCTCAAAATTATCTTAGCTATCCGAGTTCCTTTGCATTTTCACACAAACTTCAAAATTATCTTGCCTAGATCTACAAAAAACAAAAACAAAACGTTGCTGGGATTTTTATAGGAATTATGTGAAACTGTACATCAGATTGAGAAGAACTGACATCTTCAGCAGGGTGAGGCTTCCAACACAGTAGGTGTCTTCATTATTTATATCTTTTTTTCCTTTCTTTCACCGACACTGTGGAGTTTTCAACATGAGCCTTTCAGGTTTTCTTGGGCTTACGCCTTAGTATTTCGCTTTTTCGATCTAGCATAAATGGCACTGTATGTTTAACTGAGGTCTGTACCTGTTCACTGCTGGTGTACAGAAACATAATTGATTCTGGTGTGCTCCTCTGGTGGCCTGCCACCAGCTGACTCCACCTAATTGTTCTAGGAGATTCTTCATAGGTTCCTTGGAATTATCCGCAAAGATAGATGATGAATCTGCAACAAGGGGCAGTTTTATTTCTTCCCCTCCACTCTGTTCTCTTGTATTTCCTTTTCTTGTTTGATGCCTCCTGTAGAATTTTCCAGCATTGTGTGTGAGCTGCAGGGGTCTTTTTAGATTCTTTTTATGAGGCTGAGGAAGCTCCCCTCTCAGCTATTCTGTCAGGAGTTTACAGTCATGAACAGATGTGAATTTAGTCCAAAAAAATTCCTTTGCATCAAGGAATTTCTTCTTTATCCATTAAATAAGATGGACTACACTGGCGGGTCCTCAAAGAGCTTTGCATCCTTACAATAAATCCCATTTGGTCAAGGTGTGTGATTTTTTTTTTTTTATATATACACTATGAATCTATTTCCTTGTGTCTGGTTAAGGGACTTTGCATCTGTTCATAAGGGATAATGGTCTATCTTTTCCCTCTGTTGTCTATGTGTGGGTTTGGTACCAGGGTACCTTCATAGGATGAATTCTATGTTTCTAGAAGGGTCTTTGTGGAATTATTGCTAATTTTTCTTTAAATGTTTGGTACAATTCTCCAGTGAAACCATTGGGGGAAATGTGTAAATTACGAATTCAATTTCCTCGATAGTTACACAGTATTATATTGTCTATTTCACGTCGGGTGGGTGGTCACGGAGCATTCTCATCAGTAACCACTGAGTGCGGAGCCGCAGCCCTGATCCTGTCTGCAGGGGCTGCGGGGATGGGCCCCCTTCACTGCTGACCTCCCTAATCTGTGTCTTCATCCTTTTCCGTCTTCAGAGAGATCTGTCAACTTTCCTGATCTCTTGCTCTTTTTTCATTTACTTTTTCTTTTTTCTTCATTCATAATTTCATTGATGTCTGTTTATGTTATACATTATCTATTATATTGTTGTAATTTCATTGGTTCTGCTTATACGTATGATTTTTTTTCCCTCTGGGCATCTAGCGGTTCCGGAGATAAGAGTTCAAACTCTCCGTTCCAGACAACATGTATGCTTATGGCCGCCAAATTTCCCATCAGCACGGTGTTTGAGGTCTGTCCCACCAATTTTGAAATGTTTTCCTTTGGCTGTGTTCAAGTCAAGATGCTTTTGAATTTCCTTTGAGAATTTCTCTTGGACCCATGGATTACGGGCTGCTTCATCTCCAGGCATTTGGGAATTCTCCCATTCCTGCTTCTGGTTGGGCTTCCTTTTGAGCGGAGCACGAAGTCAGCAGGGCATAGGTTCTCCCCAGAGAATGGATCCACAGCCCAGGATGCAGACCCCAGGAGTTCTGTGGTCCCGGCACCCATGGCCAATCTGCCTTCTTCCCCCCACGATTCAGCCTTCTGGCCCCTGTTCCATGCAGACCACCAGGTGTGCAGTCACACCTCGCAGGAGGAACAGGGAAGACGACGTCACTCCATGCCAGGACACCAGCGCCCCTCTCTGGCTGCGGACCTAAAGCAAATCCTCTCCTGTATCCACACGGTGGCATCTGACTCTAAACGACACAGGACCAGGCCTTACGTGAGATGCCTGGCAGATCCCAGCCGACACTGCACACGGGTCACAGATGGGGTGTTGTTGTAGGTGCAGATGGGGTCAGGCTTAGAGGATGGCTGAGCCGGAGACACACAGTTATTCTGCGGTGGGATTCAAACTCCAGCCCGCTGAGACCTTCCTGTGCCTTCCCAGCACTGACACGACGTCACTCCCCGCTCAGCTGAGAAAAGTGAAAACCAAGCCCTGTCTACTCTGACAACTTGGATCAAAAAGCCCCCGGCTGGGGAGTGAGGCTGATGTGCAGTTGCTGCGGAGTCACCCGTGGCCCGGGGGAGTCACCCACCACCCAGGCTGTGCGCAGCGCACCAGACCAACCACGTCAGGACTGATACGGGGATATTGACACAGGGAAGGCACCCAGGATGACCGCCGGCCGCACGGATGACGGGTGCCACGCCTGTCCCACCCACGCTGAGCACACCAACCTCAATCCCCTCCCCCGGCCTTTCTCAAGTTCCAGAAGGGTTTTATACTCCCTCGAGGTGCCTCCACACAGTGACCCCAGCGGCCAAGTCAGGGGCTGCTGCTCAACCTAAAGGTTCTTTCCAGCATGTTCTGTCCTTGGGTGGCTCATCCATGTCCCCCAGCCGCCACCAGCACGTCTCCAACAAAGCTGATGTCAATACAGTGACATCAGCCCTCAGCCATGGTGGGCTGGGAGGAGGAACGATGTCCCTGTGTTTGCTGCCATCTGCGTCGTTCCAGGACAGAACAGCCTCCTCCCGCATGACGCTCACAAAACACACACGTGTGACAGCACTGCACACCCTCTCCCTACCCCACGCTTCACTCCCACCTACTAGAAAGGCGGGCTGTGTGACTGCTGCGCGCTGTGCCGACAGAGACGCACGTGTGGTCCTAGAGCCACAGACGGACTTGGGGAGAAGGACAACCCTTCTTCTAAATGACACACAGACCTGGTTTTCTCCAGGAAAGGAAGGACAGGGCACCAGCTGGCTCAGGACGACCACCGCTGGGGAAGGAGGCAGACTTAAGTGCTCTCCCAGGAAGTGTGCCAGAGAACCATTCAGGGAGCCTTCTCCCCCAGGAGAAAGCCAGCCGCAGAAGGAATCCACACCCACAGAGAAGATTTTCGAATGCACCTGGGGGTGGGGGGCGCCCAGGGGGGTCAGTTGGCTAAGCGTCCAACTTCAGCTCAGGTCATGATCTCACGGTTCGGGGTTTGAGCCCCATGACGGGCTCTGTGCTGACAGCTCAGAGCCTGGAGCCTGCTTCAGATTCTGTGTCTCCCTCTCTCCCTGACCCTCCCCTCTGAACCCTGTCTCAAAAATAAATCAGACATTAGAAAGAAATAATAAATGCACATAGGGCTCCAGCTACAGCTCCTCTCCATGTGCCTGGGGTCAGCCTATCCTGGACACTCAAGACAAGTGGGGAGAGGGGGGTCGGGGTCCGCAGGAAGGAGTGTGGAGTGGCCCTGTCGCCACTGCTCAGCCACAGTCCCCTCAACAGGGGTTGTGTGTCATACTTGAACAACACACCGTGTGTGCTAAGTGTCCAGGGGCTGAGACAGACCCGTCCCGGAAGTCGTCGCCCCCTGGGCAGATCCAGGGCCGTGGGCTGGGGTCTCGGGGCTGCACGCCCCGCTGCAGACCAGGGAGCTCGCTGGCCCTGGGGGCCCAGTTCCTCTGTAAAGGGCGGGCCTTCCAGCCTCTAGGTAGGGAGAGGTGGAGAAGCAGGGAGTCTCCGCCCCGGAGCCCACGGCCCCTCCCACCTTGCATGAGTGGCAGGTGACCCCCGAAGGGTTCCGCAGACGTGCGCCCACAGGATGCAGGCGGCGTCAGCCCCCCACCAACAGCCCTCCTGGCTTCCCAGGCTCCAGGGATCGTACACTCGAGGGACGGTTTGGGCGTGAGACGCCCACGCAGAGGGGAGGGGGCGGCCTCTCACCGTGAGCTCCTCTGCACAGGCCGCTGGCGCCGGCCACCTGCGGCCCGGGCGGGCTGAACGGCGCATATCGCGGCGGCGTCGTCACTGGAAAAGAAAGTGGAGCGGAGCCCTCATGGCCGCGTTCTCCCCGACGCGGCGCCCGCCCGCCGTGAGCTTGGCTCGGTTCTTACCGTACGGAGTTTCCGGAGACACGGGAAATGCGGGCGTGGGGGACGGCGAGTCACTGCCGCTTTTGGTCGGAGAGAAGTTCCTGCCGCTGAGTCCATCGGGGTCTGGGGGGTACGCGGCAGCCGCCGTCTGGAAGTGGTACAGGGACTCAGGTGAATGCCACTTCCTGACGGCCCGCCGTGTGCCAACAGGGGGCCGGTCCCCGTGCACGGCCACCGCTGGTGGCCACGGTAAACTGGGGAGAGCTTCAGTGACACGCAGGAAGAGGGAGTCCCTGTGGCCTGTCCACCCTCCGACACACGGAGCTGGCAGAGATGGCTGGGCTCGGGGGGGAGACAGGATAAAAGTCATCGCTACCCGTGGCTGCCCACAAGTATATGAAAGTACACAGAGTCTGAAGGACTCATCCCAAATGTCTCTCCTCTTTCTATTCTGGGCTCAGACCTCGTCCCCTCCCCCAACAATGAAGGCAGGGATGGGGAGGGGCTCACTGTTCTGAGTTCTGACCCATCTACCTGCAGTATCTTAGCAGCACCTCCCCCCCCCACTAAGATGCTCCGTGGAACCCACCACGGGCCCCACACCCATGCTGACCCACTTCCCTCCCGGGGAGTCTGCGTGCCCCTGGCCACTGCTGTCCACCTTCAGCCACCCGCAGGCTCCCTCCCGCCTCACCGCACCACGAGGTCAGGGTGCAGAGGCTCAGAGGAACCCCAGCCGCCAAGCTGTGCCCTCTGGGGACGGCTGTGCACCCAGGCTCTCCCGACCACACCCTTGCCTTTCCAGGAGGAACTGTCTGGGAGATGGGAGGGATTCTGGGGTGTCACTGGGACTGTGATTGCGAAGTGTGCAGACCCAGCTATCAGTGCGTACCTCCTTGGCGTCGGGCGGAGACAGGAAAGGCGACAGGCTTGCAGCCTGCTCCGCACCCGGGGTCTTGCCCCATCCGCACTTGGGGAAGGCCGGCTGCCCGGCACCTTCGTTATCATACTGCCCGAGGCTCAGCTTCCGGAATCTTCCGCCTAGTGGCTTCTCCCCTGGGGAGCCTGACAGAGAGACACATGGGCTGCAGGTGATCTAACAGCCAAGCACACAGTCCTTAATTAAGACCCGACCACAATTTCTCAAAGATGCTTCCTATTTTTTTTCACTTTTTGTTTCTAGTTCCAGGACGTCCTGTTCCTGTTCCCCTCCCCCCATACCTGGCAGCCTCTGTGGACTTGCCCCTTCTGGATGTTTCCTATAAATGGAATCCCACCCCACGTGTCCTGTGCTGTGTGGCTTCTGTCACTGGGTGTCGTGCCCCAGCCTGCCACTCTCTGACCCACCTTTGTTCATTTCCTGTTTCTCCCAGGAAAGACCTTTGTGCACTGGAGGCCAGGACGGAGCCTGCCCTCCCCTCACCGAGGGGGCACGGAGGGTCCCTGGTGGCTTGAACGTGATCCGGCCAGGCCCCCTGATGGCGGCAGGCGCCTGGGGGCTTTATGACCCGAGACCCTTCACCCCTGGTCCGTCTTCCCCTTCTCAGGCCTTCGCGGTCCACTTTGGGGTCATGTCGCTTGTGTTTTGTGTTAGGACAGCCAAGGACATAAGAACTCAGAGCAGAGACACAGAACATTTCCCTGACTCACGAACGCGCCACCTACGCACCCAACCGTGCAGACATTTCCCTTCCTCAGACGCGGTCCTGCCTCTTTACCTCTGCACCCCGGCCGTCCCCTATTTGCTCCTGTGCTCGGCCCCAGCATACACGGACAGTGACATCACATCCACTACCTTGTACACCCTTCACTTCATGCCTGGCTGGCACTGCTGGCTCAGGGAGACACGGGGGCTGCTGGAGGCGATGCGTGCATGACAAGGGCACCCTTGCCCTCAGGGAACACGAGGCGGCACTGCCAGAAACCAGTAGCTCCTGCAAGAAGGCCCACCCCCTCCAGGGCCAGCTTCGGACATGCCCACCGCACTGGGAAAGGACCAGACAGGTATCCAATGGCAGGTGAGCACCAGGGGCCTGTGGACCCAACCTCTGCGCGAATCACTATCTCCTGCTTCCAAGCCTGGAGCAGCACGGTCCAGCCAGCTACGGAGGGTCCGCCCAGATGGGGTCCAGCCAGCCACGGAGGGTCTGCTGGGATGGGGTCTGGGCCATGCACGATGGAAGGGAGGGCGTTTTCAGGCCGTGATCTGCACCGAAGCATCTCATCAAAGTTTCCCTTGCCAAAGGGGCAAAAACACAGGCCACATAGTCAGGAGAGGCCAGGCCTATCTAGGTGACAGGTCCTGGCCTCCTCTGGGACCAGGAGGACCCTCTTGGAGAAACGGGGCAGGTATGAGATGCAGCCACAGCACCAGGCCAGCGGGAGCGACCCCTGCCTGGTGGGCAGGACAAGCCAAGAAGGAGAGGGGGGCCAGGCTGACCCATTTCTGCAGACGAGGGGCACGGGGTCTGGGTCGGGACCTGCCCTGCCCCACACGGCAAGTCATGGATCACAGGGATCATAGGCATCTGGCCGGAAAACCCACAGCTGCGAACTCTACTCAGGGACCACTTCCCTTGCACACAGAGGCCTAGGGCCCACCAGGGAGGGGACGCCGCCCCTCGGACCCTGGAGGCAAAGCTGCATCCCACCCCAGGTCCTGCCCAGCAACAGGTGCACGCCCAGGCCAGCATGACATGAACACCTCTGCACTGAGCCCGGGCGTCCCTGCCTCTGCTCACTCACCCCACGGCTGGACAGCCAACGTGGGTCACAGTGAGGAGGACACGTCACAGGCTGGCTTGCACCGGTGAGATCTGGTGACCAGAGCGGCACCTGATGTGGCCAGCCCGCAGCAAGCGCAGAAAGTCACAGCCTCAACAACCCAAAGGCCTCCAGGCGGGGTCTTTAGTCACCAAAAATCACGTTTTACGCAACTTGGGTAACAAATACGCTACAACAGTACATGGAAAACTTCGCGAGCCAACGTGAACCTGCAGCATGGAGAGTGAGGGGTTCGCGCTGAGAAACACAAAAATGCACCAAAATGTTCATCGACGGCGGCCTCTGGTTGTGGGATTCTAGGCAGCGTTCATGTTTCTTGTCCATTTCTACCTTCTGTCAGGCTGTCACTCATGACGTGTATCACTTTCCAAAATACTTATTTATTTTGAGAGTGTGTGAGCACGAGCAGGGGAAGGGCAGAGAGAGGGAGAGAGAGAATCGCGGGCAGGCTCTGCTCTGTGAGCACAGAGCCCAACGCGGGGCTCGAATCCACGAACTGTGGGATGATGACATGAGGCCAAACCAAGAGTGGACACTTAACCGACGGAGTGCCCCAGGCACCCCTGGTATGTATTACTTTTAAAGTCAGAAAAATGGGACGCAGATCGTCTTCAAGAAGGAAGGTTTCCCTCCGCCCTGCGGCATCCTGCGCAGCGGATTCCCATCCCTGGTCACATCTCTGGGGCTCTCCCGCTACAGAACCAATTCTGTGCCGGGGCGGCCATCTCTCTGCTTAGGGCCAGAGCCCGAGTCTGCGCCACATCTGGGGGCTGGAGTCGGCGGGGCTCAGTGGGACACACAGCCTGGCGAAGGCAGGATGGTGTCCCCAGAGGCAGACACACAGGCGGCCCACCTTTCAGTCCTCAGGCAAACTCGGAAGGCAGGCCTGCCCACCTGCCAGGAGGGTCTCTTTGGGACTTGACCTTAATGAGCTACTGCACACCTTCTCCCCGAACCGTGTGGAGACCTTGCTCCGTCAATCTGGCAGTGCCCACAGTTTTATTTTTCAAGGAAGAAGTCAAATATGGGGAAAGAAGAAAATGAGAAACCAGATGAAAGCAGGAAGCATGCTCCAAACTAAAGCAGTGGGGGGGAGGGGAGGAGGGGTCAGCTCTGAGAAGGCTCCCTCTAGGGGCCTCTGCAGGCAAAGAGCCCCCCAGACATCCAGTGTCCCCACATGCCCCCTGCCCTGTCTCAGCCCTATACCCCTGTTCAGATACCCTCCTGCCCCACTCCTGTGCTAAAATGAACCTGCTTCCAGCCACCTAGCCAAGGCGCTGGGACCTCACCAGCCCTGCATGGTTACAGAGGATGCTGGAATGGATGCAGAAAATTCAGCAGCTGAGGGCCACAAACTCAGCAAAAGTCCCTGGGGACCTACACGTCCGCCCACCGGCCCCCGGTCACGTTCGCACTGCAGTCTCCACAGAGGGCAGGTTGGGGGCAGCTCCTCCTTTACAGAATACCGTGAGCCTGCCCCAGCCGGAGACCTGCTTCTCCTGCCGACATGAGACACATGGCCCACAACGCGACAGTCACACAGCCGGACACAGCCACTCCCAGTGGTCCCTATGCTGGGAATGCACCTGTCCTCAGGCTGGTCTCCTTTCTTCCCGCCACTGGACAGTGCTTCCCAGACTTAAAGTGGGGACAAGTGTCCCCGGAGACAACTCCCCCCCCCCCCCCCCCCCCCCCCCCCCCACTTTCAAATACCAGCCTATCTCATTTTTGCAATTTCACTTTATTCCTGGGGACGGGGGAGGTACTGGCGTCAAGGGCAGGGAAACACCTCCTGGCCTGCACACCTTGGGATGTTAGGCCAAGCTTCAGGAGGCTCAGACCCTATGGGAGGCAGGAGCTTGTTGAGCCTTGACAAAAGCAACCCTCGGTCATTCACACGCTCGGGGACACGCAGGGACGGAGCCCACTGAGATCGGGCCGTGCAGACCTAAGAGGAACAGGATGGAAGGCAGCCTCAGCCCCCTGCACGCCAGTCACTGGGTCTATGGCAGATGCAACTTAAACCAGCCATCAGCAGAGGGTGGGGCAGGGACAGGACAGGGCAATTCCTGGAGGGCTTAGGACAGTCCTCGGAGGGAGCACCTGGAAGCCCCTTCTGGGCCCTGCAGAGGCGGAGGGTCCGGGCCAAGACAGTGGGGTGCCCACAAAGTGCTTTGCACCAGGACTGAGTCCGGCCTGACCTGGGAGATCAGCCCCGTGGTCACCAATGTGCCCTCTAGACCCGCAGAGGTGTAAGGGGGGACTTGCTCAGATAACCCACTAAAACACTGGATTCAAAAAAACCAGAAGGCCCTCGGCACCCCCATACAGGTTCCTAAATACACTGAACTCCCAATTACGCAAATCACTAGCCAAGGGTGGGCAGTACCTTCACCCTCAGCAATGCAGGACCCATGGGTGATTTCCTGGCACCCCGCCAGGGCAATTCCAACTTAGGGAGGGAACTGCCTGATCTGCTCTGCACAGGACTTGAGATCCTACAAGGTGGGGTCACAGCCCCTACTCCTCGGCCCCCCCTGAAATATGCCCAGGCTTGTAGTGCGACAGGACCAGGACTCACTGCCCTGATCCCGGTGTGGGACTCCCGTATCCCCCTCCAGAGACTTGGGCCGCAGGGAAATCACCTGCGGGTAGAGCTCTCCTGCCTCACCGGGCACTGGGTCAGCCCTCCGGGGCCCAGGGGCCACGTCCGGTTAGCACCACAAACCTAAACCAGCCGTTCGCAAACCGGGCAGCACACTGGAATCGCATTAAAATTCCAGGTGTGCAGACCTCACCCCTTTCCCATGAATCCTGCATGGGTGGGGCCCAGAAAATGGCATTTTCTAGAACCTGCAGGTGTTACCAATACACAGTGGGTGTCGACCCCGGATTCGCAATGCAGTTACATGGGTGGGGGGCATTTAGGATCACTGTGATGCCTCGACTGCAGCCCAGTCACTTCAACCTGGCTCTCTGGGTGCGGAAGAGGCAAAACCCCTGCTCTGAAGAGGAGACAGAGACCCAGAGGCTTCCAGAACACCACCTTTATCTCCCCTCCAGGCCAGCAGAAGGCAAGGTGCCCTTCAGCTATGTATCTGTCTTTATACAATCAGAGAAGAATGAGGCCCTGGGTCACACAGGCCTGTACAGAGGGTTCTGGAAACTCCCTTGCAATCTTCGGAGCAAAAACAAACAACCTCTGGAAACCGCCCCACGGTGTGTCTGGGGCCTCCTGGCTTCAGCCCATTCAACTAAACACACGCATCTTCTTCGGGGAGAGTGGAGGAGGTCAAGGGGCAGAGTGACAAGAAAGGCCCACCCCTCCTAGCGAAGAGTTCCCACGGGGACGCAACCGGCTTCGTTTCTGCCTCAACGGGAACAGGGATTGGTTCCTCAGTCTCTTCCACCTGCAGGGCTATATTCCCGAAGATCTAAGAGACGTTTGTTAGAAACACCTAGTGACGGGGTTCCCGGGGGAGGGGGTGCTCTGTTGGTTAAGCATCCAACTCTTGGTTTCGGCTCAGGTCATGATCTCACGGTTTGTGAGTTCGAGTCCCGTGTCAGGCTCTGTGCGGCTAGCATGGAGCCTGCTTGGGATTCTCTCTCTTTCTCGCTCTCTGCCTCTCCCCCGCTCCCTCTCTCTGAATAAAGAAACATAAAACAATGTATAAGTTAAAAAGAACTCCTGGCGCTGACGAGCGCTCAGGACCGCAGCACCAGCAGCCTTCAGCAGCACAGACCTTGGCCTCTGGGGCTGTTTTCACCCTCTCTCCCCAGTCTCCGGAGAGGCCCCGGGAGCGGGCTGTCACTGGCAGGCGGGCGCCAAGGGGCCAAGTGAGGCAAGCCTGTCTCTCTGCATTGCAACACTGAAAACTCTTTCCACCGGGAAACATGGAAGCACTCGGGTGGGTAGCTCTTTTTCCAGAAAGGCTTGCTTAAAAGGGAAACAGTGCCTCTGAAAAGCTAGGGAGTCTCTCCTTCCAGGAGACAATACACCTCCCATGTTTTACTCTCCATAAGCTAGGACTTAAAGCACAGAGGAGAAAAGCCACATCGTGACCAAAGGAGAGATCGCTCCTCGACTCATAGGAGACTTCATTTCAAGTCTTCTTTTTTTTTAATCTTTATTTTTGAGAGGGGGGCGGGGGGGGGGTAGAGAGAGAGAGTGCATGTGCGAGTGAGAGCGCACACTAGCAGGGGAGGAACAGAGAAGGAGACACAGAATCCGAAACAGGCTCCAGGCTCTGAGCTGTCAGCACAGAGCCCGACACGGGGCTCCAACCCACGAACCTCGAGATCATGACCTGAGCCGAAGTCAGACTCTTAACCGACTGAGACCCCCAGGCGACCCCCACATGGGACTTTTACACTCAAGACACCATCAGCAGAGGCTAGTACCTGGCTTCAGTTCCTATTTTTGCTTATTTAAATTTATTTTCCTTTTTAATGCTCTTTCCCCTCCCCAAGTCACTTGATCTCCCTGGTCTCCTCAAACGTGTTCTCTTTCAGTAGCTGTGGCGTCGACGGAGGATGGTCACCAGAGCCACCCATCTTCAGGGCCACCCTCCATGTACTGGACAGCGGTGCGGGCAGGTGCCGGCCGCAGGGCTGGGTGGAAAAATGACGCACAGGACTCAAGACATCATGACGTCCCCACCCCGACGGAGAGCATCCCCGCCCTCTATCCGTGGACTGTCCGAAAGTGAAGGAGCGGATCAATCCGTGTGGACTGGCTTGTTTTTACCACACCAGAGCCCAAAGGGTCTCCAAAGCGAACCTTCAAACACCTGAAGGGGTGGCCCCGTGACATGTTATTAAACAACGGATTGCCACGTGGCCTGGCGGTTCAACCCAAGAAGTGAAAACACCCAGAATGACACCCATACACAGTGGTTCGCAGGTGTTCGCGGCAGGCCCCATGCTCGGATGGACAGATACACATACGGCGGTCCAACCTCACAGTGGAACACGATGCAGCCCCACGTGGGAGCGGAGCTCTAACACACGCCACGCCGTGGAGGAGTGTGGAAAAGCCGATGCCCGGTGAAAGCAATCCGGCACGCCGGCTGTGCGCTGTACGATTCCCTGAATACGAGATGCCGGGACAGGTGAATGCGTGGAGTCGGAGAGCAGATCGGGGGCGGGAAAGCCATTCCGAACATCCTACCAGGGGGTACCTGGGTGTCTTCCTCATAACCGGTGCACACTGTACGATTGAGGGTCGCTACTGACGTCAGGCACCTGTGACGCAAGGCGGGCCAGGCAGGGTCTCCCGCAGAAGACATGGCATCTCAGAACGTCCCACCCCTTTCCTGTCCGAGATGGCTCCAGGCAGCTCTGGTCACGCCCACGGCAGCGCAGCCGGGCCTCAAGCACGCAGACACAGGGGCGGTGACAGCCGCCACGCCGGGCCCCTCTCAGACCCACCGGCTCTCCCTGTTCGGCCACACGTGGCCCGGCTCGGCTCAGCAGCCCCAGCCTCCCGATCCTGGCTCAGGACCTGGGACCCCTTCAAAGCCCAGATTCGCTGCACCCCCCAGACCTGCAGTGTTCCCGGACTCAAAACCAGGTCGTCAGCCCCACTGTCAGGATCTCCCTTGCACCTGGAGATGTTTTCTGTCTTCTGCAGCTGAGAAGGGCAAGCACTTGACGTTTAAATGTTAAAATCAAACGGGTCCCAGTGTTCTCTACACCTGCCAGCGACGCGAGTTCCCTTCCCCCTCAATTCAAGTGTCCGAGAGCCACAGACCTGAGTGTTTCTCTAAGGACAAGACGCCCGGGAACAAAGGGCGAAGCCCGCAGGTGGGCTGGCCTGAGCGCGCCTCTCCCCTGCCTCTCCCCTGCTACACTTCCTTGCTTCCCGTGCGGTCCGAGTGTCCAGGCACGTGGCTTTCCCGCCGGGAGCTCACGGCAAGCGGGGCCTCACATTGGAGCCGCACACCAGGCCACTTCACCCATGGACACCTCCCAAAACTCGGCTGTGAGGCGGGAATCGATCCCTACAGCCAAGGGCCTTGGGGAGAGGAAGGGGGTCCTGAAAACAACACCCGGTAGCGGAATCTCACCATCAGCGTGACTGGCTCAGCCTTCAGGATCAGACGCGGAAGGACAAGGTGGGCGTCCCCTGCTTTGTGACTTCTGATTCACTTACAGCAGAACGCAGGGAGCCTGCTGACACACCAGTGCAAGAGCCCCGGGCGCGGGTGGACACCACACTTTTGCGGTGGCCTCTGGGTCCAGGCCCCTGCCTGACAGCGGACGGGCACCTAGCCCTTGGCCTCTCTGGAAGTCAGTGGCACCCAGGCTTGGACGCCCGGCCAGGCTCCGCCTCCTGTATGTGCATTCTCCCAGCAGTCTTCGCACGCGGCCCCCTGCCCCCGACCACCTCGCTCCATCCCAGCACCCGCTGGCTGCCCCCCTGCAGGTTGGCCCACCAGCTCTCGGGGGCCCCACAGTTTCGCGCCACTAAGACATGAAGATCAAGTCAGACCCCATCCTAACAGGTGTCCCCGCCTTCACAAAGCCACACCCCCCAAGGTCACTGCCTGTCCGCTACAGCCACCCGTTTTCCCAGGCCCCATGGTGGGACACGAGGGCCCTGTCCTGGTCCCTGCACCACACACCCCAGGGATCAGGGCCCCACAGCCCTAGCCTCCTGGAGTCGGCGCAGCCCCACCGCACAGGGGCGTACAGAGACAGTGCCTGGGTTCCCTCCCCGCCCCCCGACTCTCTGGAACCAGCCCCTCCCTCCACCCTCCCCTCCACCCCCGCTCTTCGCGAGGCCAACTGGGAACCACCCACTTGCTGACCTGTGCCCACACAGCCATGCCCAGCCGGCCTCCCTGCAGGCCTCCCCCAGGCCCAGGAGAGCCCCGCGTTCCTCCGGGGGGCCCCGCTCTGTGAGGCGGGCATGAACACGGTGTGCAACGGCCCACTCACCTTGCCGCATGGAGGCCCTGCCGGGGCCCTCTCCGGCGTCCCGCAGCCCGCCTCCCGTGCCGTCAGGCAGCACGGGGCCGTTGGCCTGGATGCCAGGTGTGTTCATGTGGGTAGGGAGGGGCTCAAAGGTAGGGTCCAGCTCCAAGATGAGCCTGTTGAGCTGCTCGATGGACTGGTCGATGTCCAGGGTGGGCGAGCCTGGGGCCGGGTCCACGCCGGGCTCCAGTCCAGTCCCGTTAAGGACCCTGATGTCCGGAAACCTGGGCTTGAACGCTTTGCCAGGAGGGGGCCGCTGTGCCTCGGGGAGCTGGGGCCCAGGGCCCACACCCCTTGGCGGAGCCGCTCTGCTCCCGGTCCCCCGGGTGGGGGTGACCAGAGCCCTGGGCTGGGCCTGCAGCAGGCCAGGCCCATCCTCGGGGCTGCGGCCGCCCAGCCTGGCCTCGCCGTCGGGAGCGAAGGCGTACTGCTGGGCGGCCACCATCTGCTGCTGGCGCACCCAGGTGTGCGTGGAGTAGCTGCTCTGCCCGTAGGCCTGCGTCTGGGCCGACACGGAGGGTGTCCGCAGTGCTGGCTGCAGCTGCCTCGGCTCTCGGACCCCGAACGCCCGCTCCCGCTCGAACGGGGGGTCCGCACTGAGGCTCAGGTCAGGGGCGAGGCCACCGTGTGCGTCTTCACCAGCGCTGCCGCCAAACCCGTCAGACAGGAGGGAGTTCTGGCTGCTCTGGTAGCAGGCAAAGGGGCCCAGGTGGGCCGACTGGTGCCCCTCAGAGGAGGACAGCGTGCCCATGCTATCCACGCTGTGCAGGTCGTGGCCAGGCATATCGTCGTCCAGGATGTCCGTCTCCCGCTCCTTGAGGGCGGTGTCACCGTTCACATGCACCTGGGCAGGCACAACGTGGCGTGCGCCCCTGTACTTGCCGGGAGCATCGGTCATATCCTTGAGGGGGCTTCCAGAATCTTCCAGGCCGAAGCCGCTGAGCAGCTGGTCGAGCTCGGCCTTCTCCTGGGGGCTGAGGCCCCGCCTGGGCCCCGCGGCAGGCTGCTCCTCCGTGCGGTCGGTCCGGACGGACGCGGTAGAGTGGCCGGAGTCGCTGCTGACCGACAGGGTGTGGTCGCCGTGGTCCGGGCTGGCAGTGGCGGGCACGGCCGGGGCCCCGCCTGGGACGCCAGGGTCCGAGGCGCTCTTCTTCCTCACCTTGGCGTACAGGCTGCCATCGACTGGGCCCTGTGTGTGCAGCACTACAGGAGAAAATGGACACCAGCTGTGAGTCAAGGTTGCAAAGGGGGCTTCAGGCTCTCAGATGGACACCTTCCTGAACAAGAAACACAAATCCGCAACGGACAGACAACGCGGCATAATCGGGGACAAGTACTCCCCCAGGACCCCCAAATTCTGCAGTCTCCCCCATACACCTGCAGAGGAGGGCCAGGCCCAGCAATTCCAACAGCTTCAGGCCCCAGGACCCTTTCCACCTTCTTAGGCAAAGGGAGTCACCACTTAGAGAACCTTCCAGATTCTCCAAGCTTGGGCGTCATCCTGACTGGAAGGCTGGAAGTTAATTTCGTCGTTAGCCTGAACGCTGAGCTTGTGAGTCCCTAGGAGCCAAGAACCCACTGTGCACAGGACACGGGGACTGGCCGGCCCTGAATCTAACAGGGAGGTTGAAGGGGAGAGAAAGGCAGGCCTGCCCGACAGCGCAGCGTCCTTCCACCGAGAAGGTAGAGGACCCAGGGCGCCTGAAGCAGATCTTGGTGCGCTGACCTCCCTCCACCCGGCAGGATGGGAGGGAAACACAGATGAGGCCTCAAATCGGGCAGGACGAGAGGAAACCCCCGCTACTATTACTAACTACAGATGGGCCGATGGCATGGCTGGGGTCCCAGGCAAGCTGAGGTCGGCACCCCGTTTCCCCGCTGGGACATGGCAGACACAGTCACGCTCTGAGCACCTGGGAACCATGGAAGACTTGGCTGCTGGGCACTGGGGCTGCACCAGGGGACCCAGGAGAGACACGGAATTCCAATGCTCACGCAGACATCACCCCCACACTCTAAGACACAGCTGGACGGGGGCAGGACGGCGCAAGAGCTCGGCCATCAGAGAGACAGCAGCTCAAGGGCTGGCTCTACGCGACCCGCCCTCGAGCCACGGCCCACACTCCTCCAGCTGCAAATGAGGGTGTGTTGTATGTGCAGGCTTGCCATGAGGGTGAGAGACAGCACGCACACGAAGGGCTTTACTGGCCTGAGAAAACATGCGTCAGTGTGGCTTCCGGTGCTGGGAGGCGTCAGCCCCTGTGACACCCACAGAGCACCCACCTCCCCTCTAGCTGCAGGGCATGAGGCCGGGGGGCAGCTCCATGGGAGTCCCAGACCCCGCCACAACAACAGACGAAGGGGTCCGAGCAGTCCTGGACAGCGGGTGTCCGGCCAGGCCACAGACTGCAGGGCCACACAGCCAGGCGGCCATGGAGAATTCTAGAAGCCCGTCTCACCTGCCGGAAGTGTGCGTCTATGACTTCCACATCATTCTCCCTAAATTTCAATTAAATGCAAGGGTGCAATGACTTTTTTTTTTTTAATGTTTTTTTATTTATTTCTGAGAGAGAGAGAGAGACAGAGAGGGAGAGACAGAGAGTGAGCAGAGGAGGGGGAGAGAGAGAGAGGGAGACACAGAATCTGAAGCAGGCTCCAGGCTCTGAGCTAGCTGTCAGCACAGAGCCTGACGTGGGGCTCAAACCCCTTCAGTCGGTGAAGCATCCGACTTTGACTCAGGTCACGATCTCGAGGTTCGTGGGGTCAAGCCCCACGTTGGGCTCTGTGCTGACAGTTAGCTCAGAGCCTGGAGCCTGCTTCAGATTCTGTGTCTCCCTCTCTCTCTCTCTCCCCCTCCCCTGCTCACTCTGTCTCTCTCTCAAAAATAAACATGAAAAAAACTTTTTAATTTTTAAATATTTAAAGTATGTGTTTACCATGTTTAAGATTTCTCATTTTAACCAACATTTTTTAAAAAAATGTTTATTCACTGGGGCATCTGGGTGGCTCAGTGGGTTAACCCTCTGTCTTCAGCTCAAGTCATGATCTCATGGTTCGTGGGTTTGAGCCCCACGTCGGGCTCTGTGCTGACAGCTCAGAGCCTGGAGCCTGCTTTGGATTCTGTGTCTCTCCCTATCTCTCTCTCTCAAAAATGAATAAACATTAAAAGTAATTTTTTAATAAAATTTTAAAAATTAACAATTAAAAAATTAAAATTAAAAAAAGGAAGCTAAGAATGAATGGTACAAAAGTTCTTTGAATTTAAAATGGGACACTGAACAAAAGTGCACAGTAAAGGTTGTGAGTTAGAAGCCCCTGGCCAGCGCCAGGCTAGAACTGTGCCCAAGGGAGGGTCTGTGTGACGCGCCATAGGACGCGAAATGCCCTGGGCCGGAGAGTCATGAGTACCCCTACCCTCAGTACCTGTGTCAAGGTTAAGAGCAAACACATGAACACAACATGATCACCACTGACCTCACACCGGCTCTGCACAAGACCCAGCACTTAGGCCACAGGGTCAGCAGCCCCCAGGGAGGCTCAGGGGACCTTCCCATCGGCAGCACAGAAGCCAGGACGCAGCCCAGGCCACCACAGGCTCCGGCCTAAACTTCTACCATCCGTGCATACAGGTTGTAGCCACGGGACGAGGAGGAGGGGAAGGGGCTCTGACCTCCACGCCTCACCCTGCACTCTGGCCGAGGGCTAGCACTTCTACGAGAAGCACTCGGACTGGTTTTTCACTTGGAGAAACTGGATGGCCCTGTTTCCCTGCTGCCTCGACATGGGAGTCCTGGTCCCCATTTACGTGCCTGTGTTCAGCTCACTCAGAATGTTCAAGCCCCTGCTTCCTCATTAGAGAATAGACTAAATATCCCTATCTTTTAGGGCGAGATCAACACATGGGCAGCCAGGAGGCCATACTCAGCAGGAAGAGAGAGCTCTGTCCCAAGTAGAGCCCATGAGTCCCTCCCTGTCCCTGGACCTGCTCCCAGACCACAGCAGGCACACACCTGCCCCTGCCCCAGGGCCTTTGCTCATGCTGTTCTTAGCCTCCTTTGCTCTCCATCCCAGCTCACTCCCTCCTCTCCTCAGTAGGGCTTCTCTGACCATCCTTTCCCCTGGGGCAAGGGGGGGAGGTGGTCATCTGTTGGTCTGTGGCACAACTGCCTCCAGCACTTTGCAGGTCTGCAAAGTATCATGTAATGTGCCCCGACCCGAGTATGGGCTCCAGGAGGCCTGGGAGCTTCTTGCCCCCGGTGGTATCCTCAAAATTAGGGAACAGATCCTGGCACCCAGTGGGCACCAAGTAACCAAGAGAGCCAATGCTCTAGCATGTTCTCATACACAAAAACCTGGGGAGCTACTCTGGAAAGTTCCACCATCTCTGTGGGCAAGAGAACTGAAAACCACTAACTAGGCCAAGACAAATACAGCAATAAGGTGTGAAGGCAGAAGTGGCTGCAGCCCCAGGGTCCCCTCCCTCCCCGGCAGGACCCCCGCCCTTCGAGCCTGCCAACTGGCCTTCCCACACTACAGAGCAAAGCTACAGAAAACTACCTGAGAGCACCCAATCTGAGGCTCCAAAATGTCAAAGAAAACACATCATGAACGGACAGGTACAGGTGGCCCAGGGTGACCCTGGTCAGGCAAAGGGGCCGGACGCCCTGGTCGGCCCGCCATTACCTGTCGGGGCCACAAGACAGCAGCATGACCATGAGGAGGGCACAGCCCTGGCATACAGTGGGTACACAGCAATGGCCCTGCATCGCTGTGCTTCCCGTCTCCCCCACTGCCCTGTCTGCAGGCTCCCCCGAAGCCACATCTTTCCACAAGTTCACAGCCTGCCTCCAGCCTCTGCACCGCACACAGGAAGGACCATGTCTCCCACGCGGGGCTGCCGTGTGTTTCCAGAGACCCGGTGTGAAAACGGCAGGGGGCATCGGAACCACCTGCCTAGCCCTCCCCTCCCTAGAAAACTAACTGGAGCCCCACCCCTGCTGTGCGGAGTCCCCACAGGCTTCCTGCCACGCCAATGTTAAGGACACCGGTACTCGAGGAGGGCAGAGGGCATGAGTCTGTGGCTTGGCCCAGGGTCAAGGAGGGCACGGCCCCTCCAGGGAAGGACGTGCAGGGCTGGAGACTGTAAGTGGCCCCTGGGGCGGGGGCCAGATGGAGAATTCTGGAAGGTGCAGCCAGGCACCTTCATCTGCCCCCAGGCATCTCTTGTATACAGTTAAATGACTTCTGTTAACTTTGTGTTTCCAGCTCACAGGGAATATGACTGATCCCTGTTCGGAAAACCCTGATCCCAGAAGGGGGCGGGACCTGCCTGGTGCCCTGGTCCCCAGAGCTTTGCAGCTGGGGACACAGACCTCCTGCCTTCGCTGGTCCAGCCCGGGGACCAGCCAACTCTCCCCACACCATTCTCCCTCTCGTGTCACCTTTCCCTCCGCGCTGGCCCTCTGGCCAGAACCCCAGGGAGGTGCCTGGTAATGATTGCCCCGCCGCCAGGGCCTAGTTAAAAATCAAACAGACAATAATTCAGCTCTGATTAGGGCTGAATGACCCAGCAGGGCGGTTTATCATCTGGAAAATAACAAGAAGGAAGAAAACACAGAACAGGCAGGGACCTCACCCCGGCCCTGCCCGCCCCCCTCCCGCCCCGAAAACGGGGCTTTCCTACAAGTAGGTAAAGACGCTTTCAGGAAACCTTTCAGAAATAATGCACGAAAATGGGGAAGACCAAAACCAAACCAAAACAGTTGAGAACATTCCTTCCCATCATGCCTGAACCCACAGGAAGCAACACCCACCTGTGCTCACGGGTGTGTTAAAACTCAGCCAAGGCAAACGGCAGAATCTCCAGGCCGCCTCCTCCCAGGCACTGACCACCCGGCCCCCGAAAAGGCACAGACCGGATGTGGGGTACGGGCCACTGGCCCCTGGCCCCGCTTCCAACAGAAGGCCATTCAAAACATAGGGCAAACCTGGTGGATGTACACAGCGAGCCGCACTTTCTCCTGTCGCATACTGAGCCTGGATCTTATGTTCTACTCTCGTACAGAGTGTCAGGTTTGTTCAAAAGCAAGTTTTCATTTTGGAAGTGAAACCCACGGGTGGCTCCGTGGGTTGAGCGTCCGACTCCAGATTTCGGCTCAGGTCATGATTTCATGGTTCACGGGATCGAGCCCCACACTGGGCTC